ACGTGAAAACTATGAATAACAGACCAATTACCCAGCTGACCACAGCAAGGAGCCTTTAGATCAAAGGTTAATACAACATGAATTGATTTGACACACCAATAAAACATTAAGGACAATGTTACCTCAGGCCACACCACATTCACTTACACGCAGTCTCTCTGTCCCATTTATACCAAATATGTGCAGGCTGATACACAGAAACAGAAAAACACACTTAAACAATTAATAGACATGAAAGGTGGAAAACTGCATACACATACACAGCCTTGTGGCACTATATTCGTGACCCGTCATTAACATAATGCATTCCCTAGCCCCTTAACCTAATTCTAACCTGAACCCTATAACCAAGTCTTGACCATTAAAATGCCATTTAAACTTGTGGGGTCCAGCATTTTGGTCCCCACAAACTGCCGGACCCCACAAGTACAGTAGAATGTAGGGTTTTTGGACACTATGAATATAGTAAAACAAGACCCCTCAACACACACTCACAGGCACACACAGCACTATGGGGCCCCTTGGAGAGTATTATATAACATTACCCCTGACATATCAAGTGCTTTCACGCACCTAGAGGCAAGACAATCAAGCCATTTGTTCAGGGCAAAAATAGCCACCTCCTTCATTGCCGTCTACTATAACTACCATTACAACCACTACCGTGTCTACAATGCAGTTTGGCTTAAGAGACCTAAAAATTTTAAACATCATCTATCCATAGAGGTTAATATAGTTGTTGATGACTATAGTAGGTCAATCAATTTTGGGGCAGCTGCTGGGATTTAATGACTTTATATGGTTTTGGAACCAAAGCGCTATACATTGGAATTGGAAATTCACGATGGAACACAATTTATTGTTGAATAAATAGTGTAGTAGCCACAGCAGCAGTACCATTCCAGTAGGTTGTTTCATGATGTATTACATCTGTACTCAATGAACTCTAAACCTGTTGATTAAATGTTAAAGCTAGGTCACAATTTAAGATAAGATAAAATAAGATATAATTTTATTAATCCCCCATAGGAGAAATTTCGGTTGACATAGCAGCACAAAGGAATATAAAAGAACAGATGCGGTATTGTAGAATAAGTAACATTCAACGTATATAAATATATATATACACTGAAAACACACTATATGCGATCAATACATTAACATTCTATGTATCCTAAGTATTAACACACTGTTTACACTGTACAATCATTATTAATTATTTATAACCATTTACAACCAGATAAATGTCTGAAATATAATCAGGAATTGTCAGGAAACAGTTTGGTGCAAATGAGCCTACAAAATGCTTTGAATTTTTAAGTCCGATGCCGATTTCGATATTTGAGGATTTTAAAATCCGATATGCTGATATATCGCCGATATTTTTTCCCCCCTTATTTTATGAAACACACAACATAAACAAAGATTATCCGTAACATTTGTTATGTTGAGAGCATACCAAGATATATCTGAATTGTTTTAAATTGTTGAGTACTACTACTAATGAACATTAAAGTAAATAGTGTATGTATTGTGGGGGCCAGTGAAATAAAACTATAAAAATTACCAACATATATATATCAGATCTCATGTAATTTCTATAGTAATAATGATAAACAGGGCTCTCCAACATAGGAAAAAATATATATATTTTTTTGTCATGCAATAGTTATATCCTTAAATATAATCAGCCACAATGACTACTTTCTGCTATGTAGCATATTCACATCTAGTTAATGCCTTTACCAGCACTCTGTTAATTCTATCCAAAGCTACGAGGAACCAACACCTGGCTCTAAAACATGCCATCTTATGATACAGTGACCCAGAGAAAATGCTGCTGTTGAATGCATCTAATGCTATGTGACTGTCTTCAACGAGGACCTGCAACTTTGAGATTTCGCACAAACGTTTCAAAGTTGTAAGTGGTTCGAGATAACTTTGTTTGGCAGGAAGCCATGTTAGATACTTGTTCAGCTCATGTTTATTAACATGTTCCCTCTGGTTTAATCATTTCTGACACGTCAACTGTAACTACAGAAAAGCAGCTCGCAGATATATTTAGAATACGTTAAACATTATAGTTTAACTGCTCATTAATGTTAGCGCTCCACTTATAAACATGGCATTAGCTAGTTTTGTGGCTAATCTTGCAATGTGCAGCATTAGCTGCTGTAAGTGATGATAAAGAATATTTAGAAGTAATGAATTAGGAAAAAATGAGAGGACAGTTTGTAGATTTATTTCTCAAACAGTTGTAGCAATCACGTTTGTCAACAGCGTAGCCTCCACCACTCACTCACTGTTACATTAAACACACCGCTGTGAGCTGGGAGAGGGCAGAGAAAAAAGGGAGTTACCAAGTTTGGTCATGAATGTTTTCAGGAGAGGAGAAATAATGACAGCTATTTTTATTATTACTTAAGTCATTATCTGAGTAGGCAAACTACGCAACACTCATAACATGAAGGAAGGATCCAACTCTCAGTTTCTTTTTTAATAGTCATGAATCGGCTGTTGTTAACAGCGATGCCGATTTATCTGCAAGTATCTTTTATCGGACGATGATATCTGCAAAACGATGAATCGGTTGGGCTATAGACCTCAACCTCTTCAGGAAGCTCTGTCCTTTCTCTGCTTCCTGCAGAGGGCCTTGGTGTTGCCTGTCCAGTTCAGTTTTTTGGAGTTTCACCCCTTAGAACTTGTAGGTATCCACCATCTCTACTCCCTCACCCCTTATTACGACAGGGGTTTGGGGCCTCTTGCTGCGTCTGAAGTCCACCACCAGCTCCTTGGTTTTTCCTGTGTTGAGCTAGAGGTAGTTTTATGTCACACCATCCAATGAAGCTCTCAATAAGGTCTCTGTACTCCTTCTTGCTGTCATCTGTAATACAACCGACGATGTAGGAGTCATCTGAGAACTTATGGAGGTGGCTGAGAACTTCTCGGTCCGGCCAGCGTTGTTGAGTTAAATCTGTTGAAAAACTGGTTTAATTCATTGGCTCGGTCCTTTGTCCACTCTGCTGCTCCTGCTGGCCTGTTCATACCTGTGATGGTCCTCAGCCCCCCATCCCCCACACACACATACTTCTCTGGTGTTGTTCTGCTGTAGCTTCGCCTTGATCCTGTTCTGATAACAATCCTTAGCCTTCCTCAGCTCTCTCTTCAGCTCCCTCTGGCTCGCTTTCTTGGCCTCTTTGTTGTCCCTTGCCATTGTTACTATTTACTTTTTAGAAGCATAATAATTTGTCAATTAATAGAGAATATAAGACAATATAATCAACAGATTATTCTATAAGAAAATTAAACATGAGTTGCAGCCCTAATTACATATATTTTACAGAGAATCTTAGAGAGAGAGAGAGAGAGAGCGAGAGAGAGAGAGCTATAACAGATGGGAGACCCTACATGCAGAATTCTGCAGAAACATCCTACACATTCAAAGGGAGTCTCCTAGAAATGTGTGTAGGGCAGAATTACGGCGGTTTCCACTGATAATAGATACCCAAAAATGAGCACTAAAATTTCTGATGCACCTCAGATCAAGTACCCAAGACTCCCTTCAATTAATCTTGTTATGTCATATTAAAATGTAAACTTGATTTTGAAATTGCTTTGGGAACGTTGTTTAAATGAAACATTCATGTCAAAGGACACTGAACTTAACAGAAATTCACACACTAGATCACACACTACACGAGCTGACAACGGCTGTGTCGCGCGACGGCGGGTTTCCAAACCACGTTTTGTCAAGAAAACTCATGTGAAATGTGAAACGGGAAATGGCACGAACCCTGTTGTTTGTTATTATAAAGATAGCAATTATAAAGACAAAGAATATGGGTGAAAGAATGGATTAGCACACCAGCCTCCAACTTCAGAGACAGCTGGCATCAGGACACTGAGCTTGTTATGTGTGTATTTGTGTGTGTGAGAGAGAGTAAAGAGAGAGAGATTAGAGAAAGAGACAAAGGAGAGAGAACCAGTGTCAGTTGCACGGAGTGAACAACACACATGTAACCAAACCCTACAGCCATGGCCATGACCTCACCAGGTTTTTCCACAGGCACACACACACACACACACACACACATGAACACACAACATACACAGGGCACATAGCAGGGCAGCTAGAGCCAGCTTCCATTCAGAGTCATGCATTGTAATCCTACACAGTGTGATCACACAGGCATGCTTCACAGTGAAGAAATGCAAATCTAAACTAAAAGGCAAGACACAAAGAAGCAGCCGGTTATTTGTTTCTGATGGGTGGAGCCGCTGATCAAATGAATTTTGATCTCAGGTTGAAGAAGAAACCTTTGAGTGTTTCCCATGTGAGTCATGTCTAACCATACTGAATTGTGATGATGTTTCTAAAGTTAGTTCTGAAAGATAGTTGCTGTGAAGTAAATCCTACTACTGTATAGTAACACCATTGGCAGATTTTTACATTTCCTGCAAGACTAATTGCAATTCAGGATTAAATAACTTAAAAATAACTACAACTTTATATTTTTATGTGTTGGCCACAGCTAGATCAACATATAATAACAGCTCATGTGTTAAATTTAACTGTCACACATTTTTGTAGGACTTTTTGACATATAATTAACTACCCTTCCACGTGACCTGCAGCAAACCAGATTTCTAAACCTACACATGAAAAACACAGCAGGCATAGGACGCATTTCCAGCTCGGCCAACACCTGTTTTGTACTCTACTGCAGTTCTCTGAGAATCAAACAGCTTAGATCACCCAAGCTGTGTTATGTGTGTGTACGCTATTAAAACATTTTTTAACAAAAATGTACAAGAGTACAAGATGTTGTCCTGAGGCGGTTTACTTCAGACATGCAGCCTTTTTCCACATGAAAGTTTCAGCGCTGATGGCTGTGGCCTAATTTTAACACATTTAAGAAAAATATAAGTGACCCACAAACAACTACTTATTAGGTTACAGTTGGTATTTAGTAAATATTTTTTTAGGTTAAAACTCCTACCTGCCACTGCATAAAATTTTGTTGTCCTGTCTGTCTTTATGATGTTCCCAGATGTGCTGATTCCATCTGTAGAGATAAACAGTTGCAATAAAAACATTAATAAATAATTAAAACAAGTGAAATTGACAATTGGCAACTCTGAGCTGGCCACCAAAAAAATTGTCCCAGAGAAGGTGTTGCAAATCCCACTGGCAGCCAAAAGAGGCAGATAAAAGTCAGAGAGAGAGAGTTAATAGTCCATAACAGTTTGTATTAGCAGACTTGGTCTGAAATGTAAGCCCCACCTATTAGGTCTAATATTTGACCCAGATCTGGATAGAAAGATCATAAAATGTGTGTGAATAAAATAAAACAAACCACTCAAATGAGACAAATAATGTAGAAAATCAGGCAGGAGGTGCAAGTTTTTTGTTGTTGTTGAAAACTCCAAAATAATATTTTCTCTCAACCCAATTCTCTGAGTGCTGCTTAACATCTGTTCCGCAGCAAAAAGCTGACTGAGTTCGAACACAAGGGCCATAAGCAAAATAGTGTTTGAATAATATCTCAGAAATGACTGATATGAAATTACAGGTCTGTGGCCTCAAATTGGTTAAACAAAAAGTTTAGGAAAACAAGCACTAACAATATTTCTGCAGAGATTTACGGCGTGTCTGTGGCACTCTGTCGGATATCAGAGTGACTTTATCCTACTTATTCATTCTTTCATCTGTTTACAACATCCATCTGGAAACATCGTGTCTATGATAAAGAAGTAGTTGTGACTCTAAGGTAGTTGTAGACACGCAGGCTGCGTATCACTATAAGAACGCTAAAATAATTACAACGGCGAAAAAAGTTTATATGCAGGATACAGTTTTCCGTTTTACTATAAGAAAGAGTTCTGACATACTTGCGCGTTTCACTTTTGAGCGCTCGTGAGCAATTAAAAAAGACCAAACACCTGCACAGGTAGCTTAAAGTTATCACCCATAACTTTTCTTAGCAATGCAAAACTCTGATATTTTAGCAGCACATTTAACAAGTCAATTAACAAATTTCCAGCTATTTCCACATCAGACCTTGTTACCACCAGTGTTGCCTACCGTGTGAGATAGATCCCGTTAACACCTAACAGAGTCTTGAAACAGTCTAAGTCCAAACACTTGAAGATAATCCATCTAAAGAAATCTTTGAGCATCCAACAGAGCGAAAACCTGACGGGAGGTGATGGTGAGCTCCGCTGGTGTTAGACAGTGCAGGAGAGGAGGAGGAAAAGAAGAGACTTATCGGAGGCAAGTTGCAGAAAAGAAGGTCCGGCCCCTCTCCTGCTGACAGAAATAGGAAGCAAGGCGGGCCCCACCAAAAATAGCCTTGACTTCACACAAACCTTCAGGACTATTGTTTGCCTGCAGTGACTGATTCCCATTGGTTGCACACTGCACACAATCTGCATTTGGTTTACATTGTTCCTACAGTGTGGGGACTTCAGTCAATTAAAATAATGGCATCTACACTGTGGCTCCATCTGCTGTCAAAAACCTCAAACCCAGCAATGTTGTAGTGCCAAGCAGAGAGATGTGGTTCTTGGGTCTTGACCCTCCAGGGGCCATTTGGAGAGCCCCAGAAGAACATGAGCCAGTTTAATTCACTTTTCACACCATTTAGTATTTTTTATTTTTTTGCTTTTATTTTTGTCAGTGTGTAACAGCATTTAGAAAAGAAGAAAAAAAGACCAACATGTGCCACACAAGATGATGATTAGTGAGCCTGCTGCCTAAAAGCTTTAAAGGAACCTCCATCATCTACAGTACTTAGTTGCAATGGTCTGGTTTGTAATACACTGCCATTATTTGTCCAATGTATTGGTTTCTGAGCTTGTATCATGCAGTACATGACATAATGTATACAGCAAAAAAAACATTCAATAGTTCAAATGTCTGTTCATATTCCTCCCCCTAACTCTTGTTGTCTTTGTGTAATGGAACAAGAAAATCTCTGATTACGGTCATGTACCAATGGTGCAAATGTCTAGCTAATGTTTAATGAAACCAATAGCATTAAACAATTATTCTGGTGGGGTTGCACATTAAAACTGGTATACGATAAAGGTTTCTGCACAAAACCATGTGCATAAAGGCTACAAATATTCTCAGAAAACAAAATTCTTCTCTTGAACCTAATTTGGTTTCCTTTTTATTTTTCGTTTCCTGCCAATATGTGCTGGTGCCTATGACTGCAGTTTTCTTAAATGTTACTCCAATAATTCACAGATCTATATGAGGTGTTGGCTAAACACAATCAACAAGTAAACTGCATCTGCAAAACAGATGCTTTTAAAACACCCTGCTGACTAATTAACAGTTAATAAAAGTTACAATTTGTTTAGTTTCATGCTAACAGTTATTTCACGAGAGCTATAAAATCTGAGTTGAAAGACTGGTATTACATTTTTGAATTCCTTCAATACATTTAACACCACTGCAATGTTCTTTTAAATAATATAACAACTTGCATGCTTCCATTTGGTGTAATCAACCACATTATATTGCCTGGTAATATATCTGCAGTAGAGACTGAACAAGTACATTGAGAAATAACTGTGAAAGGACTCCTCAAAATTGTTTTCATGTCCTGAACAACAGTAGAAGAAAGCCCATTGAAAGGCCCCTCATGAGGAAATGTCTGAAATAGTTTCTGTGGGCCTAATAACAATGTCATATATTGTTCAGCTGATTGTACAAATAGCTACACTTGCTACAGGACATTTCATTCACTGAAAGACCTAAACCATGTCACAATAGAGTTGTAATATGTGAGATTAAAACTGTAACTAATTAGCTCATATATTGCAGGATTAAAGATTATATCATTATATAATCATAGTTAATTCAATTATGTTACGAAACAAAACGCACCCCTGTACTGTAATATTGTTAGTGATTGGTCTACACAGAATAATGCTGAAAATGTTTGTGCTATTTGGTGAGCAGATCAGATTTAAATATTGAAAAGGAGGATTGGTAAAAGAAGAAACAGCTACAGTGAGCTGTTAGATGAAGAGCTGAGAGCTCTTTCACTGCAGTTTAGTAAACAAGAACTCCTAAATTTAATTTAAGGTAAACAACACAGTTCATTGTTGTATCCTGTAGTATGCAAAACCATTCAATTAGATCTGGAAAACCAGATGTAATCATAGTTGCTCACGGCTCAGAGCAGATATTTCTACCATATGGAAAAAGGCAATCCAATTTCTGTAACCATAAATGCTTGGTCCTGTTCAACAATTAACAACAAATACTTGTCAAGGACTTTCTGAAATAATGTATTGAAACTTCTGAAAGGGTTAGAACAAAGGAAATAGTAAAATTGTATTTCTTTTTCAAAAATCTTGTTGTATTCAAGTGCACAGTGTCATAAAGGTTATTTAATTTTATTTTGCAGTTACACACCATTACTGTAGCTATAGATACAGTATCATAAAAGAGTCATGCAAAGTTAGAATATATTATTATAAGTACACTATCATTAAAATGACTGTATTTTAGTTTTGGTTACATTATTATTACTGTAACTATAAAAAAGCGAACCTTCTGTTGTTGTTTTTTTTACAGTAAATTACTTGACAATTACTGTCAGTTACTTAATGTGGAATTCACAGTAGATCTTACAGTGTGCAGAGAAGAAACATCAAAAATACTTTATTTCATTATTAAGAGACCCTACAACAGAATGACTGAGAATATTCATAGACAATACATTAGGAGCAGGCTCTGGGAAAATATGTTTGGTTTGCCCTTGTACTAATGGCAGCCTGGAGGTCAAATAAGTTTAAACATAGGTAGGTAGGTTGGTTTATTGTCACAATATAACAAGTTACAAATTGTGTTTTGTAACTCTCTTCTGCTACATAGCAGACAATACACATTAATACAGAATCAATTGTAAAAAAAAAAGGTAAACAGAAAGAAACTATAATCAATGGAGCAGTGCAGAGGATGAATTAGAGTTTAAATATGATAGCTTGGGGAAAAAGCTGCTCTGCAGTCTGGTGGTGTGGCAGCAGAAACTTCTATATCCCTTCCCAGAAGGCAGCAGGGTGAACAGGCTGTGGCTGGGTGGATACTATCCTTTAGTATCCTTTGGGCTCTGTGTAGGCACCTCACCTCGCCGATATCACTGATGCTCGGGAGATGGATACCAATGATCTTCTGAGCAGTTTTAATCACCCGCTGCAGAGTCCTCCGTTCCTGGGCCATGCACATCCCATGCCAGTTTGTGATGTTTCTTGTCAGGATGCTTTCTATTACTCCTCTGTAAAAGCTGACAAGAACTTGGCTTGGGAATTTGGCCTTCTTAAGCTTCCTCAAGAAATACAGTCGTTTCTGAGCTTTCTTCACCAGCGTGGAGAGGTGAGATAACCATGTCAGGTCCTCTGTGATGCTGATTCCCAGGAACCTGAAACGGTTCACCTGCACCACCTCAGCACCACTAATGTAGACAGGAGTGTGTGTCTTTATGTCCTTCTTCCTAAAATCAACAATCAGCTTCTTGGTTTTGCTGACATTGAGCAGTAGGTTGTTCTCTGAGCACCACTCTGCAAGATTATGAATTTCTTCCCGAGAGGAAGTCTCATCATTGTTTGAAATCCAGCCGATGATGGTGGTGTCATCTGCAAACTTCACAACAGAGTTCTCTCCTGGGGGATGCAGTCGTGGGTGTACAGTGTGATCAGAAGAGGGCTGATCACACAGCCCTGGGGGGCTCCGGTGTTGAGCACTAGAGTGGAGGAGGTGTGTCTGCCAATATGGTCTGACTGGGGTCCAATATCCAGTTGCAGAGTGTTGTATTTAAACCCAGAGTGCTGAGTTTGCCGATCAGTTTGATGGGGAGATTGTGTTGAATACTGAGCTGAAATCCACAAACAGCATTCTGATGTAGGTGTTGTTTTTCTCAAGGTGTTTGAGGGCTGAGTGGAGGGCAGTGGAGATGGCATCCTCTGTGGATCTGTTGGTTCTGAAAGCAAACTGGTGAGGGTCCATGCTAAAGAACCAGTTTCTCAAAGCACTTCATCAGAATGGGGGTGAGTGCCACAGAGTGGTAGTTGTCCAGACTAGACTCCTAGACTACAGACTTTTTAGGTACAGGAATGATAGTGGCTGTCTTGAAGCAGGTATGAACCCTATCCTGAGACAGTGAGATGTTGAAATTGTCAGTAATAACGTCAATTGGCACAGGTTTTTAGTACACGGCCAGGGATGTTATCAGGCCCAGCTGATTTACTCATATTCAATCTCAGCAGGACTCTCCTCACATCTGCTGTGGATGCTAACAGTGGCCGGTCCTCTGGAGGTGGAGTAGACGTTACAGCTGACTCCTTGTGTTGAGGAGATCAAAGTTCATCTGGTAATGTGGCCTCACACATGATGGGAGAGCTCCTGCTTTTGTAGCCTGTCATGCTCTTGATGGCCTACTACATATCTTTGGTGTTGTTGGTGTTGAGGTCTCTCTCCAGGAATGTAAACAGCAATGAAAAAACACTTGGAGAATTCTCTGGGCAGATAGTATGGCCGACATCTCAACATTAAAAATTCCACATCTGGTAAACATTGTCCATCCACTTTAGCTGTGTTTGAGTACCAAGCATTAGTTATGTAGATACACAGTCCTCCTCCCCTCATCTTACTGGACAGTCTCTGCTTTCCTGTTGCTGAGTGAGCCTTAGTCTTACTTCCTCAATTTTACTTTCCAATGACCGGACATTAGCCAGGAGTAGGCTGGGGAGTGATAAAGCCTTTGGTCCGAACTTATTTAGTTCCTTTCTTCCTTCTCCGATGTTTCCTCCGACTTGTCTGCTTGTTTTGTCGGGAGATGCCGTTACTAGCCAGATCTGCTGCACTCAGTCCAGTCCGCACTTTCTTTTCCAATATTGATTAATGTATTTCTGTCACAGGTGATCATAAAACAAACTGCAATATAGCAAAAATTAAGGGAGCTACTGATCGCTGCGTTTATGAGATTTGAAGATTTTTGTCAGTCCATTCTGAACATGTTATAATTGACACCTGTTGTAATAATGCTTTTACGGGTAGTAAAAGGCCATAAATTATCCACAAAATTTTGACATTGCTGATACAGATCTTCACTTGCTGTTGTCAGACCACCTAGCACAGGGTACCTTGAGACCATGTAGGAGGAAGTAGAACATCCTGTCTGTGTAAGACACGGTGTTCAAACACACACACACACACACAGTACATACGTTACTGTGGTAGCTTACGTCAGGACTATCATCTTGTCAG